AATACATTTAGATAAAAAACTGTATTTATGTGCAAATATTTAAAAAATAAATAAATACAAATTAAATTTAAAAAATCTATATATGAAGAAATACTTAAAACATTTTTACAAATTAGATTTAGATATAAAAATTGTATTTTTGTGCAAATATTTTAAAAATAAATAAATACTAATTCAATTTAAAAAATGTTAAATTATCTACATATGAATATCTGTATATGAAGAAATACTTACATTTAGATATATGTGCAAATAATTTTTTCAAAATGAATAAATAAATAAAAAACATGGTGAAATATAAGAAATATGCATATATGTACAAATTCTATGTACAAACTCCTCTGGCAGGGTTCCTTCCATCCCTGAGGCGCCTGTTGGGAACGCCGGCCTACTTCCTGCTCCTTTGTGGGAGCATAAATACATTAAATAATAAAATTTGAAAAATATAAAGTTATCTATATATGTACAAATACTTTTGTAAATATAAAAAAAATACAATTTTGATTAAAAATTGTATTTATGTGCAGATATTTAAAAAAATTAATTAATTAAATTAAATTTAAAAAATGTAAAAAAAACAAATACTTCAGAAAATATTTTAAAAAATTAAATTTAGATATAAAAATTGTATTTATGTGCAAATTGTACAAATTCTATGTACAAACTCCTCTGGCAGGGTTCCTTCCATCCCTGAGGCGCCTGTTGGGAACGCCGGCCTACTTCCTGCTCCTTTGTGGGAGCATCCTGAAGTTCAACTCCTTCATCGGCCTGTTCACCTTCAAAGCCAAATACATGGAGCAGCAGTTCGGCCAGTCCGCGTCCAGAGCTAATTTCCTCATAGGTAACGCCACTAATCACACAAATGAGCTCCGCTGATGAAAAACAGGACGCAGGGAGCTCCACACGTCCCAGAATGACGTTATATTCCCATCCCGATATCAAACACTCACCCTTTAGAATCAGAAATACGTCAATAATCCCAGAGGGGAATTATCTAATGTCTGAACCCAGAAAATATAGGACAGAAAGTAATCAGAATATGCTAAAAAAACAAGTTAAATTTAACTTTTTTTGCTTTTTTTACTGTCAACTAAAAAAAATATTATTCTGTTTAGCAGCTTTTATAAACATGGGGGATTGTTGATGACACATGAGGGATTAAAGGACTAACAGGATTACTTCCTGTTAGCATGTAGCATCAGTGGATACTAGCTGTGGAATCTGTGTTCTAGCTGGATGCTAAAGCCTCTGCTAGCATGTAGCATCACGCTGAGCTCAGAGTGGAGCCGGATGTTATAGCCTTAATGCTAAAGCCTCTGCTAGCATGTAGCATCAGGCTGAGCTCAGAGTGGAGCTGGATGAGGTAAGAAACGAGGGTTTCTTACCAAAATAAAACAGGAAATGAGCAGACCACATGGAGACGGGACAGAAAACCCCAGTTTGACTCCACCTCTGTGACCCTGAATCCTTCTATAGCAGTGTTTTTCAACCCCTGGTCCTCGGTACACTAGTGTGCCGTTAGTGATGGTCAGGTGTGCCGTAGAAAATCATCCTATTTCACCTCATTGGTCTAAAAAGATTTTTTGATAAGGAATTAATTATCTGCAAATAATATTCCATTTTTGAGTGTCTGTGCTGTTCTAGTGACTGGTGGAGTAATCATGTAATAATTCCTTATGACTAGATATTGTATATAATTTTGTATATTGAAGTGGACATGTTAAGTACAATTTGAAAGAAGAAATATAAAATATGATAAAAATGCATTTTTGTGTTTATTTGATTCCTATTCAAGACAATTTAGATAAGATAAGAATAAAATAAGAATAACTATAGTGTTACTATAGGCGGATACAGATTTGTTTAACATTTTTGGTTATTTGATTATTTCAATGAAAAAATGTACCTTGGCTCAAAAAAGGTTGAAAAACACTGATTTGTACTGCGACAAAAGAGGAAAAAATGTTGAATGTTGAAATCAGTGTTTTTCAACCTTTTTTGAGCCAAGGTACATTTTTTCATTGAAAAAACCACGAGGCACACCACCAACCAAAAATGTCAAAGAAATCTGTACATTTTTGTGTTTATTTGATTCCTATTCAAGACACTTAAGATAAGATAAGAATAAAATAAGAATAACTATAGTGTTACTATAGGCGGCTACAGATTTGTTTAACATTTTTTGGTTGGTGGTTTTTCAATGAAAAACTGTACCTTGGCTGAAAAAAGGTTGAAAAACACTGCTTTAGTTGGGTATTTCTGGTGTTTGTGTGCAGGCGTGCTGAACCTGCCCGCGGTGGCGGTGGGGATCTTCCTGGGGGGGCTCCTGATGAGGAGGTACAGGCTGGGCGTGGTTTCCGGGGCCCAGCTCTCCTTCGCCACCTCCTTTATGGGATACCTCCTGCTGCTGCTGCAGTTCGGAACCAAGTGTGAAAACATCCCCATAGCAGGGCTCACCGTGTCCTACAACGGGTCAGAACCAGGAGAACCAGAGGGAGAACGGATGGATGGATGGATGGATGAATAAATAAATATAGGACAATGGATGAACCAGGAAGAACCAGAGGGATAACGGGTGGATGGATGGATAAATATAGGACAATGGATGTATGATGGATGGATGGATGGATGGATGGATGTATGATGGATGGATGGATGGATGGATGAATGGATGGATGGATGGATAAATAAATATAGGACAATGGATGAACCAGGAGAACCAGATCCCGTTATCCTCAAAACCATTTCCCTCTGCAGTCTAGATAGATAGATAGATAGATAGATAGATAGATAGATAGATAGATAGATAGATAGATAGATAGATA